GTAGATACAATTTGAAGTGTCTAGTCTAGGCACTTCATCTTTCAGTCGTGGTAGCACCATCGGTCGTGTAGAGAATAATATGTGTAGTTCGCCAGCATTAAAAGTTCTTTGAACTGATTTTCTTAATTTCTTCGTAATTTTCTTGCTTGGTATATCGCCCATGAATTGTAGTCGTACAAATGTCCACGTCTCACTCGGCACCCAATTATATTTTGGAACTATTCGGTCAAATCTTGATCACAGTTCATATGAAGTATTTTTTAATAGTATCTTTTCAATATGAATCTTCAACAAATGAAATTCTGAAACTTGAAGCTTGTCTTATGTATACAACATGTTTCAAATCTTCAATTTTGCATATGATATTGTCACGGAGAACTAGTCCGTCTTTGAATGCATTCATTGTAAGCATCTTGCTTCTTTTGATATCACTTCCCTATTCCCAAATCTTATAGTCATTAAGAGTATTGAACTTATATCTAAGGTACCTAATGATATACGTATTCCAACAATAGAACTGAGAAAACTTATGTACTTTTATGTACTGAAAATATCCCATTTCCATTCGACAGCTAACTATCCCATCAAGTTGATAGTGTTACTATGGAAAGTCATTTGGAATCACTGTTTGCAGATTGATTCTCGTTAAGCTTAGAAACAGCATTTACAACAGATGAAATTGTCTAAAATGGTAACTTTTTAATTGCCTGTGAGAGTAGATCAGAGATAGGAAACTTATTAGTGGAATTCAACTCATGCCATCCTAATCTTAACTTCACAACAGAACACGAGGAAAGTGATACAACTAAATGCCTAAATGTTTTTCTCGGATCTAAAGAATTCGTGGCACAGTAGACAGATTCATACGTAAAAGGATGTCATGGACAGGAGAGTATACACTCTCTGAAAGCTTTGTTTTCACCTAGTATATAAAGAGAACCTAGTGAGAGCATTGTTCAATAGAACATGGAAAATTGAATGTGAAACAAATATTCTTAAGGACATTTTATCTAAGAATGAATATCCTGAGAAGCTTACCAGTAAACATTCTTAAGAAATAAGAGGCCGTAAAACTATCCAAACCATTCCAAAGAAAGCTGCCTGTATCATTCTTCCATTTAAAGGAGACGACTTTGAAAAAAGTAGTCGGACGGAGACTTGATTAAGCCATTAGGAGAACTTATCACGCTACAAAGATTGTATTCCTTTACACCACCAAGAGGGTGCTTCAGAAGTCTGAGAAAGAAAGGACCGGTAATCTTTGGCAATTCAAACTGTGTATATTAATCCGAGAGGTTTCAAGGAAAGGAGATTGTCCAGTCGCATGATAGAGCACTTGTTTGTTTAAGTGACATATTTTACTGAAATCCATTACAACCCTAATTTTAATCCATCATACTCTTTAATCCTTATCTACGTGGACATAGTTTGAAAAACATCCGCATCATCAATCGTTTCACATGAAAGATGCTATTGTAGTTCATTTTCTGGTCAGTCATATATCTTCCAATATATGTCTGGTAATATACCTATCACTGAATGTAGACTATTAAGCAGCTGAAGAGTTCTACCGAAACTTGACGAATTCATTAAATTCTGCTTCTGAAGCATTTTTGAGACTGTTAAAGAAATTAGTTCCGTGTGAAGTACAAAAACACCGACAGAGATCCAGATCTGGGCAAGTGATCAGTGTAAAAAATTTTATTCCAATGTCACCCTTCTTCCTATAATAAAATATAAGAAAAAACAAGAAACAAAGTTGTTCAGAGAAAAGAGTCTTTTCAACGAATTTATTATCACGCTGTAAAATCGTACATACATATGGTGTTTTTGAGAAATTATATCCAGTGGTATATATATATACCTAGAATGGTGGCCACATTACAAACCTGACTGATAGAATTCAATCTGCACCGAAGAAAGGACTAAACACGTCACACTAGTTACTAGTATCCAATCAAAATATGTACTTCTTTTGGTGTGGTTGTGTTCTCTGAGCTGGATGGTTTGGTTGCGAAGCTTTCATTGCTCTGCTGAGCAACATCTTCAGCGCATACTTCGATGTATACATTTGTTGGGTGTAGATTCGATGAACAAAGATTCAGTAATCAACCTCTCTCTCCACCTACCTAGATTACTTTTTAGAATTTTAACCCTCTCCCATCCTATTGTGTGGTTGTGTATTAATGCATGCATTGCAATTGCCGAGCTTTTTTCTAAATTACTTATCTTCGAGCACAATGTGCGTTAACCCTAAAAAATCAAAAGAAGGCGAAATCAAACTTGACAAAATCGGAAAGAGAAGCTTTAATTAATCTAAAACAGGATAAAAATATTGTCATGGCAAAAGCTGACAAAGGAAACGCCAACGTAGTTTTCAATAAATAAATCTGACTACATCAAGAAAGTCACTGAACATATTGAAATGGGTCCATATGAGGAAATTAAGAAGCCCGTAGATACAATAATGAATAAGGTTAAAAAATCCACAGCGGAATTAGTACGCAGAATAAAGCCGTCACTGGGTGAGTCAAAATGGTTTAATTTAATGCCTAAAACTAATAATGCTAGTAGGATGTATGGTACTATTAAAATACATAAGCCAGGTTATCCCATAAGACCAATAGTAGATTTTAGAAATACCCCTACATATGAATTATCAAAACATTTAGCTCTAATATTATGCCCCATTAGAAATCGTTCAAATTCTAGACTATCTAATTCATATGTGATGAAAAATAAACTAAATGACATACAAGTAGATAATGATGAAACAATGGTTAGTTTTGATATAACCACTCTTTATACTAATATACCAGTCAATATGGCCTTAGAAGCAGTTAAAAAAGAACTAACTGCGGATCCTGAACTCAATCATAGGACAAAGCTGTCCATTGAAGAAATTATATTAGGGATTCAGCTATGCCTCACATCTACTATATTTAAATTCCAAGGCAAAATATATAGACAAACTGAAGGTGTAGCAATGGGATCACCAATATCCCCTATCGTAGCAGATATATTTATGGATAGCTGGGAAAATATGGCACTTAATACGTTTAATCCTACTCCAAAAATATGGTGGAGGTATGTGGATGACACTTTCACAGAACATATCTCTAGCTTCTTGACACACATAAACTCACTAGTGGAGGGAATAAAATTCACATTTGAAACCGAAAATGAGCAAGGAGAATTAGCTATGTTAGATTGTAAAATAAAACGAATAGAAGAAGGCAAACTACACACTAGTGTTTATAGAAAACCAACGCATTCTAATAGATATTTAGACTTTAATTCATCTCATCCTTTAACTGTTAAGGCAGGCTTAGTTAAGTGTTTAACAAATCGAGCAATGGCACTAAGTAGCACAAAAACAGACCTTAATGATGAAATAAAACAGATAGAAGAAGCGTTGGTTTTAAATAACTATCCTCTAAAATTCATTAGGAAGATTGAAAAACGCCAAAAGAAAAATGAAAAGAATTGTGAGACTAGTAATAATAACATAAATAAGAGAGAACATAACTCATCTACAGTTATACCATATAAAGAGGGGACATCTGAGACCCTACGTAGGATTCTAAGTAAAGCAGGAATTAGGGTGGCATTTAAACCTACAAACTCACTCAGGGACAAGCTCTGTAGGTTAAAGGACCCAGTCGACCCAATTAGACAAAGTAATATAATTTACAAAATACCCTGCAATGACTGTGAGGTCAACTACATAGGTCAAACTAGTAGGTCAGGGGTAGTCAGATTGTCAGAACATAAGAATTTAGCTGGTTGACCCAGAGAAGATAAGTAATTTAGAAAAAAGCTCGGCAATTGCAATGCATGCATTAACACACAACCACGCAATAGGGTGGGAGAGGGTTAAAATTCTAAAAAGTAATCTAGGTAGGTGGAGAGAGAGGTTGATTACTGAATCTTTGTTCATCGAATCTACACCCAACACATGCAATAGGAATGAATCATCACTCATACCTGAAATATGGAAAATAATACTACCAATCAAATCAAGTGAAAAACAATGGAACTATATAAATGAATTTCGGAAGTCGTGTGATTACCTTGATATGATTATGAGCAATAAATTGTGCTCGAAACGTCATCAGTAAATATAACTGTATAACACTGTGAGACTCTATCAAAATAAAAATTTACCCATAATGGAATTACATTCTACCACAGTGCCCAAGTTTTATTCTTATATCAATCCTAGTACACAACAAGTATATAAGTTTTTGCAAAGCAAACTTTTCACGCCTTCGTCTTAAGTCTAATTTAGTGGGTAGAACATGGAGGCGGCCAATTATGATTTCAATTTCCCTAGGTAGTTGGTCTTATATGATATAAGATAGTTGGAGGCAATCGGCAGGAAGCTTTGAAACTAGGTCTCGTGCTAGTTGACACTCACCAGTCACCAAGGCCTATCTGCAGCCTTGAAGGAACTCGTGTCCCTTCTAAGATAGGAACCCGCGTCACCCAGTGCTGCCTGCAGTCAGAGACGTTACCTATGAGCTATTTGGGCTCGTGATTGACCTCCTGTAGGACTGTATTGGATATTTTGATTTGACACTAGTAACTAGTGTGATGTGTCTATTCCTCTCCTTGGTGCAGACTGAATTCTATCAGTCAGGTTGTAATGTGGCCACCATGCTAGGTAGCTCGCCATCACGGTGCACATTGATTTGATAATATTAGATATGATTATTTGATTTTCTGTTATGTAGTCAGAGGAATGCTGTAATCATATCAGATGTTACTTCTAGCTATTTCAAACTTTTCTACTGTGCCATTTGCTATATTATTCGCGGAAACACCTCACAATAGCTTTTATGCTCACCTGACCTCTTCATCTTTAACACATAACAGTCAAGTTAGTGTCACATGATACAATAATCATAAGATTTTGAAATCATACTAATCAATACTAAATTTCCATTAGTTTTGTTATCAGCATTCCCTTTCAATCAACTAATTACTTCCTAATAACAATGAATAAACAAATGGAGTTCTACATCTTGTGTGTTGGTCTTCTAGGAAATGTTTTAGCTTTGATTATATTCTCAAAAACATTGGTGGATCATTCGATTAAATCAAGATTTTCAATTGGAATTGGTTTAGTACAAACATTTCTTGATTTATTAGCATGTTTAGCTAATTTAATGAATTCATTTCTACCAAGAGACTATGTAGAAAAATCACAATTATTAAGTAATATAATGAGAACAAGATTAATTTATTGGGCAATTATGAATTATCGTGGTTTAAGTATAGTTTGCAGTGCATGTGGACGATATAATAATATGCTAAGACCATTTTTCAGTAGAACTTACTTTTTTCAGCTAATTGTAGCTATTATTCTAGGTGCACTGGTGAATTGTATCTCATTGTATTGTTTATATACGCTACACTCGGATTGGGTAGACTGCAGTGATTTATGCTCCACATGTGAATATAGACCAGAGATAGTGATAGCTGCATTTTCAGCCATTTGTGGTTTTGTTTATCGTTTTCTATTCCCATTAACTGTTTGCTTTTATGCTTATACACGATTGATAAGTATCTGTGAAAATATTAATGATATTAAAATGCAAAGAGCTGTTGGAGATTTGAAAAGGATGCGTTTTCTTGACGGTTGGTTTTATATGTTTTGTTTAATACTGCATGAAATATACTTTGTGCTGAATTTTTTCACTACGAAAAGATATGTAAATGAGAAGACACAGCTTTATCAGATATTATTACTCATAACTTATTTGTATCCATGTGTACATCCTTTCTTATCAATTATAATGTATCAAAGATTTCGTGATCCATTAGTTGCGTTATTTAGAAAGAATAAATAAATAAATAAACAAATATATCGATTTATTTGTTGGTTTCATGAAGAAGATTTCTACGTCTTTTGGTTGACTAGTAAAGGAATTAATAGGGAAGTGAGTAGGACTAGTGACACCAGAATTAATATTCACTGGGACAAATTTAGTCTACATAAATGCTAAATGGATTGTGGAATTTGAAATTAGTTTTTATCTGCTAACTACATTATCTCCTTTAATAGCACCGACAGATTGTAGTACCCCTATACCAACTATAAACATTCGCTTTTTAATCTAATTTGCATACTTATATTATATGTTTACACAGACCGATTTTATGTGTGCTTCGCAAACATTTGTCAATTTACTGTTGAACATTACCTTGACACAATTTTTGAAAATTTGACTACTGCATTACTGTCAACTTAGACAAATGCGAATTTTGTAAGGCCTCACTGAAATTCCTCGGTCATTTAATTGACAGCCGAGGGATCGGACCAGTCTCTGATGACGTACAAGGTATCAAAAATTATCCGTTACCAGATTCTTTTAAGAAATTATGGCGAATTTTGGGTCTCGTTAATTTTTACCGGTGTTTTATCCTGAACTGTGCTAAAGTTTTGCGACCGTTAACCCACTGCTTACGTGGACATAGTCGTTCATTCCATTTGCCCACAGAAGCTGTTAAAGCATTCGAAACTGTTAAACAATCGTTAAATGACAAGACACTCTTACTCAAACGCCAAAATGACCCCCCGTATCTCTCATGACAGACGCTTCAGACGTTTCCATTAGATTAGTTTTACAACAGCAAGTACATGGCGAATGGCAACCCTTCGCATTCTTTTAGAAACGACTGAATTCTACCGAGTGTCGCTATAACACCTTTGGTAGAGAGTTATTAGCTGTTTATTTAGCAATCAAGCACTTTCGACATATGCTGGAAGGTACATCTTTTACTGTCTTTACAGACCATACAGCTCTAACGAAAGCCTTATCAGCAAAACAGGATAACTACTCTCTGCGCGAACTACTACATCTCAAGTTTATATCCCAGTTCACCTCCCATCTGCGATATGTAAAGGGTAAAAACAATGAAGTGGCAGACGCTTTATCACGTATGCACATTGACAACATTGTATGCCCAGACATCGACTACGAACATCTCTCAAACTTACGACGAGATGACGCTGAACTAAAAAAGATCTTGTCTTCTAAAACAACATCTTTAAAACTCGACGCAATTCCTTTTGGCACGACAAAAGTAATTTGCGACACCTCTATGGGTAAATATCGACCCTTCATTCCTGCAGCTATGAGACATACAATATTCGAGAAGTTACATAACTTGTCGCATCCCGGTGTCAGAGCTACTATCAAACTACTAAGAGAAAGATTAATATGGCCGAACATTAACAGCGATGTTAAGAAGTGGACACGAAATTGCTTGTCCTGTCAAAGAGTCAAAATCAACCGTCACACCAACGCACCACTTGGTCGCTTTCTAGATTTGACCATATACATGTAGACATAGTTGGTTCATTGCCTCCTTCCAATGGTTTCAACTACATTCTAACTTGCATTGATAGATTCACTCGTTAGCCAGTAGCAGTTCAATTAGCCGACGTCTCCGCTGAAACCGTAGTTAAAGCTTTGGTCGAAAACTGAATAGCTAACTTTGGTGTCCCATCCATTATCACTACAGACAGAGGTGCTCAGTTTGAAAGCCGACTTTTTCACCAGCTAACTGAATTACTGGGCATAAAACGAATACGAACGACCGCGTATCATCCTAGTTCCAACGGTATGGTTGAACGATTTCATCGAAAACACAAAGCTGCGCTCGCTGCTTCTTTGACTCAAACTTCCACTGGTACTACTTGGTATACGAGCTCCTCTAAAGAAAGATATTGGCTGCTGCGTTTCCGAGCTTGTATATGAAGCAACATTACGATTACCAGGAGGATTTTTCACCCCGGGTAACCAAGTTCCACAAGATATGACTGGTTACGTACACCAGCTAGAACAACACATGAATGAGCTCAAGATATCACTTCCACACCAGCAGGAACGAGCATCATACATCCTGCCACAACTGACAGATTGCACTCACGTCTCCGTCAGGAGAGAGGATGTACAACGACGACTTCAACCCACTTACCATGGCCCATTCAAAGTTCTAAATAGAAATGCTAAAGTTATCACTATAAAACGACTGAATAAAGCAGAAGCCATCAGTGTTGACAGGGTCAAACCAGCGTTCATCGACGATTTAGAAGCCAACGATAAAGAACAGCTGAACGACGTGCCAACGCCTACATCCACGCAAGCCTCAACGTCGCCAGAGAAACCTGTCAAAACAACACGATCTGGCAGGACAGTCCATTGGCCTAAACACTATGCGAAAATCTCCAATATATAACTTACAACGAATTTTAATTTTAATTATCTTTATTCGTAATTGTCATTTGACTACTCATTTAACTGATCAATGTTTTCATACGTAAATCACGTCGCTACTATTTTAACATCGATATTTCCTGCATTATCACATTTAACCATATAGCGCTTACTATTTACGTATCGTTTTTGTCTGCAAACTACAGATCCCCGGCCGATTTTTTCATTCCTTATATATTCTACCATGATTATCAATCCTATTTTTCCTTTATTATCCCATTTATTATCGACCTTATTAACCGCATTAAACTGCTCATTTTTCAGCCTAATAAATCGCCTTCCATGTACTATCACTGCTACGTATTACGCTGATGCATGTTATTGTCGAACACTTAAATGTATTATTTATATATTTCAGTGTTCTAGTAGGTGGATTATGTAGTACCCCTATACCAACTATAAACATTCGCTTTTTAATCTAATTTGCATACTTATATTATATGTTTACACAGACCGATTTTATATGTACTTCGTAAACATTTGTCAATTTACTGTTGAACATTACCTTGACACAATTTTTGAAAATTTGACTTCTGCTATAATGCACGTTCTTACTCTTCGCAAGTGCCTTTTGGTTTTACGTTGTAAGCGCCGAGTAGCCAGAACGTCTATGCACATCGATAAACGTAAAGAAGTACTAGGAAATACGAGTACGCCAGTTCAGTCAAATAAAGCACGCAACAAGATAACCAGTATGTTGCTCTCTTACAATTCAGGTACCACTCAAGAGATTGCCTGATGTGCGATATAACTTAGATGTCTCTTCAACATAATTCTGGTCCATATCAATTTCCTGTTGCATATTTGTTGAGCATTAGGTTGTCGGCTGGTTCGCAGCACATCTAGAATTCCTTGCTGTGTGCTGTTCTTTCCTGACTGGCAATCTAGTCATCAGAATCTACTAGGGAAATTTGACTTTTGATGAAAGTTTTGTAGAGTGTTGGTATTACTGTAGATAAGCTAAATTAGACCAACTCTACCAAATGAAGTTTGCCTGGTATTCGATAAATCAGTAGTCATTTTTGTTGATTGGACACTAGTCAGTAACTAGTGTAATGTGTCTAGTCCTATCTTCGGTGCAGACTGAATTCTATCAGTCAAGCTTTCACCGTGGTAGCGAGCCAACTAGCATGGTGGCCATATTGCAAGCTTGACTGATAGAATTCAGTCTGCACCGAAGATAGGATTAGACACATTACACTAGTTACTGACCAGTGTCCAATCAAAAATATCCTATACAGTCCTACAGGAGGTCAATCACGAGCCTGAATAGCTCAGTGGTAACGTCTCTGACTGAAGGCGGCACTGGGTGACGCGGGTTCGAATTTCAGAAGGGACATGAGTTGCTTCGAAGTTGCAGATACGCCTTGCTGATGCGCGCCAACTAGCCCGAAACCTAGCTGGAAGGCTTCCTGTGGCCGATTGTCTCAAACCATATAATACCAACAAATCAGTAGTCTACCTATTTCGTAGGTACTGATGACAAGACTAAGTAGACTCTGATAAATAGTACTGTAACAACTGAAGATGAGGGCCAGGCAACAGATCGTTTATTAAGGAAAATCAACACATGTTCATAGATTTTAATGTACATTACTGTAGATTATTGTTAGTAGAAAATACAGTCT